CCCCAATAGACCACGGAGGCGGTCGTGGTGTATATGGCGAGTAAGTGACGTTTGTTAGAAGTCCGTAGTTAATCACACGAAGCACAATAAATCTGCTTTTAAGGAGAAATACCTATCTGATCAAACTTGCTCATGTTATAATAGAAGAGACAACGTTCCTCCAAAAGTTTCAAAATAATCCGTTTTGACATATTTTGACCATCCTGCTGTGCTCCACTAATTAGCCGTCATTCATTCACGAGTGAGTGAGTGAGTGAATTGGTGAGTGAGTGAGTGAGTGAATGAATGGGTGAGTGAGTGAGTGAGTGAGTGAATGGGTGGGTGGGTGAGTGAGTGAGTGGACGTAAGTACCCATGAATACGGCATTAATACCGAACGGCAACTCTACACATTGTGTGCTATAAGTGACCCTTACTTGGGCAACGTTAGGGTATAGGCTACGATTACGAAACATAAGGACATAAATGGTGTTTATTATCATGAAAATAAGTATGTCGATGATTATTATTCTTATCATTATTTTTATAATGGAGACGATGATTTCTATACGATGTTAACGATGATGATAACTGCATGGGTAGGGTCAGTACGCTGCTTTCAGCGACCTTACACTGAAACCACTGGGCTACGTAGCAACAACCACTGTGGAAACAAAACAATCACACAGAACGATAATAATCGCCAGCATGTAACCATCCATGAATGAAAGAAAACAATCATTGTGTAACGATTGTTGAGTATTGGGCAATTGTCCTATGAATCATATCTGTTTTGACTGACACGTACAGTGTGTCGCAACATCACAATCGTTATCACATGTTTATCTACTCTACATGTAATAACATCTACATTGTGTTATCACTGGTGTTAACGGGGACAAGAGATTTTAGGACTTTGTCAAGTCTAGATTACAATGTGTGCGTGATATAGAATTACATATACAATCATACAAGATTCGGTCAAACTGTTAAGAAAAAAATAAAGATCTGTCTCATACAGACAGTCATGAATTCACAGTTCCGACAGAACCCTTTTCAAAGCCACAAGAAATCTCTGCTTTTTTCGATTGCACGGTACCGCCTTGGATCATGAGCATGTGTTTATGAATCATAATCATATAGTGATGATACCAGGGGTTCGCGAAAAGGTTAGCTATCCTACCTCACCGGTGGCACTCGTCACAAACACATGCAACGGCAAGTCTATTGTTCACCCTAAAAAACACGGGAACATGACAAGTCAAAATTGGGAACGCATGCGTCAAATCTGGAAAAGTCCTCAATATGTTCACCATAACACTTGTTGAAAGTGATGCGTCAAATTTGGAAATATCATCCACATGTCACCTACATCAAAGAACTTTTGAAGTCGTTTAAATCTTTGCAGAAAGATCGATTGTACCTCAAAAGTAGTGAAGTGTGGACAAAAAGTCTTCAAGTTCCGGAAGCCACGCCTACTTTGGATGCTGTTGCTAGATTCACCAAGCATTGCGATGCTGAGCGGTCAAAGATGACTGAATGTCACCCTGGAAGACTTTCTCGATGGTTATATCCCATTAGTTAGACGTCCCATTTGTTAGACGTCCCAATTGTTAGACATGTTTATTTAGGCAAAGAGGGAATATACCTACAGGTGTAATGGATCAGTCCTAATTAGATTAAAGTACTGAGTAGGGATAGGGGACTCACAGTTTAGGGAGTATATATGTTACAATTTCGTTTAATTAACCTAAATTACCTTACTTTCAGCACAGGTTCAATAAGCATGAGATTAACTATATAAACTATGGATAAGCTTAATTGTCATACCGTATGATCAGTTGAAGGAGTTGAGTTTAGATTATCTACTCATCAAACAAATAAAAATGATCTTGGGGTACGTATCATTTGACAAGGGGAATTAGCTGGCTGGCTCACTGAATGCGCCTCTCTGTTCCGACCATGTGACAAGGAGAATTAGCTAGCTGGCTCACTGAATGTGCCCCTCTGTTCCGACCATGTGACAAGGGGAATTAGCTAGCTGGTTCACTGAATGTGCCCCTCTGTTCCGACCATGTGACAAGGGGAAATAGTTGGCTGGCTCACTGAATGTGCCCCTCTTCCCCTGCCAGGTGACTAGGGGAATTAGCTAGCTGGTTCACTGAATGTGCCCCTCTGTTCCGACCATGTGACAAGGGGAATTAGCTAGCTGGTTCACCGAATGTGCCCCTCTTCCCCTGCCAGGTGACAAGGGGAATTAGCTAGCTGGTTCACTGAATGCGCCCCTCTTCCCCTGCCAGGTGACTAGGGGAATTAGCTAGCTGGTTCACTGAATGTGCCCCTCTGTTCCGACCATGTGACAAGGGGAATTAGCTGGCTGGTTCACTGAATGTGCCCCTCTTCCCCTGCCATGTGACGAGGGGAATTAGCTAGCTGGTTCACTGAATGTGCCCCTCTTCCCCTGCCAGGTGACAAGGGGAATTAGCTAGCTGGCTCGCCGAATGTGCCCCTCTTCCCTTGGCAGGTGACTAGGGGAATTGGCTAGCTGGTTCACTGAATGTGCCCCTTTGTTCCTACCATGTGACAAGGGGAATTAGCTAGCTGGCTCACTGAATGTGCCCCTCTTAGTTAAAGTTTGTCCGGAGGTAATAGTCATGAGGCGTTCAAGTCTTAGGTGGTAGAACGTCATAAGACGTTAAAGTTTCCGGAGGTAATAGTCATGAGGCGTTCAAGTCTTAGGTGGTAGAACCTTATTAGACGTAAAAGTTTCCGGAGGTAATCGTCATGAGGCGTTCAAGTCTTAGGTGGTAGAACCTTATTAGACGTTCAAGTTTCCGGAGGTAATCGTCATGAGGCGTTCAAGTCTTAGGTGGTAGAACCTTATTAGACGTTACAGTTTCCGGAGGCAATAGTCATGAGACGTTCAAATCTTAGGTGCTTCTAATCGTCATTAGACGTAAAATGACCAAGTGGTAACCGTCATTAGACGTTGAAGATTGATGTTGTAGAATGTCATTCGTAAATGTTTTAGGTGCTAATCGTCATTCAACATCAACGTTTCAGCGGTAGGACGTCATTAGACGTTAAAGTTTCAGTTGGCAGAATATCATTCGACATTGGTATCAGGAAGCAGAACGCTATTAGATGTTAACATTTTAGGTGGGAGAACGTCATTAGACGTTAAAGTTTCAGGAGGTAAAGGGCATGAGACGGCAAATCTCAGGTGGTAATCGTGTCCATTTTCCGTACGGTTCTTTTCCTTCTATCTGACATGCTTTTTTAATAAAAGATTGTTTATTTAACAAACTGTCCAAAATGGCTTTCTTAAATTTAAAAAAAACCAGGCGCGCTGTCCATTTGAAAGATTTTGGGTTGTTAATGTCAAGGCGGTAATGTCATTCGACGTAAATGTGTCGGGTCTTAAAAGCCTTGTAACATGAGGTTAATGCTATTCGTCTTGATGAATAAACATTACAGCCAGTTAAATGTTGCCGAGCATTCAAATGTTCTTTTTAAGCCCACAACTACCAGGATATCCTGCATGTGATTCATCAGGTGGAATGTGCGCTAATGACGGTTTAAACATTCCTCGTGACATGACTATAGGCAGTTTGGAAATTTAATGCAAAAATTGCATTTCAAGATTAAAAGGTATCCCCAAGCAGTAATTTTGACTTTTTACTTTGACATGTTAATTTTTACTATTATTATTAAGCTGTGATATCTAAAGTGCTTCGGGTGCTTGTGTCAACTTAAACAAAGCGTTCGAAACAAGGGTGAACACGATGGTCGTATGCTTAACCTGTTAACGAAGAACTCCTTCACCGGTTTAGTCCTATTGTTGGTTCCAGGAAAATATTATCTTTGAAAGTAATTACGCTGCCAAATGAAATAATGCGTATCACCGGACCACAGCGGCGAGGTGGGTTTTCGTTCTAATACTACCTGGGGCGGTCGGGTAGCCTAGTGGTTAAAGCGTTCGCTCGTCACGCCGAAGACCCGGGTTCGATTCCCGACATGGTTACAATGTGTGAAGCCCATTTCTGGTGTCCCCCGCCGTGATATTGCTGGAATATTGCTAAAAGCGGCGTAAAACCATACTCACTCACTCACTTTAATACTACCTCATGCTGGGCGTTCCGCTAGATAGAACGTACGGTAATCTAGAATATATTAGTCATCATTCAGTTATAAAAATACTTCATCCGTCTATGCTTTCACTGAAATCGACTAAAATATACGTTGCGTCCCTTATGAGTGTGTGAATCCAATCATCGTCAAAAATGTTATATTTGGGACAACACTTCCTTAGTAAATTACAGATTCTTGTACTTTTGGGGGGTTGAGTTCCACCCGGGATTCGAACCCACAGATTCTGGCACTGAATCGAATCGCCAGCACACAAAGTAAGCGGTCTAACCCACACAGCCACCGAGACTTCCACAGAAAATGGTCCAACAACTGGTAGTTTAGATTACGTTCTTGCCCGAAAGCTATGAACACACAATGCCATTTAGAAGCTGGTCACTTGTAACTAATGTTATATTTGGGATAACACTTTCTTAGTAAAGTAAGGATTCCAGTACTTTCTAGTACACGTACCATTGGTTCATGTTTTGTATGGCCTTTGTTTTATTGCTAACTGGGCGGCTGGAAATAAGGAGTAGAATATATTTCGTACTACACAATATAAGGTGAGGTGAAATTGGGTTTAACGTCGCGTCCAAGATTATTGCACTTATATATAGCGACGTGGAAGCACGCGTATGTGTGTGTGTGGCTGCTTGTACTAGTCTAGTAGAAGCAGCCATGCCACACAAACACACACACGTACATGCACGTCGCTATATAAGTGCAATAATCTTGGACGTGACGTAAAATCCCATTTCACCTCCCCTCACCTCACTTGTTTATAATATCACATTCCTTACGAACCGCGTCAATATGTCTGATCAGGAAGAATATGAAATCTGAGCCCATACGGTCACTGGAAGCACCAAAAACATCCCAGTAGCAACATCAGGGAGTTAAACATTATTTATTTCACCAACAACATATATGTACAGTTATACTGACAGAAGAGGAAACGTATATACAAAACAGTCTATCCTGGTTGTATTCAGATCAGCTGCAAAGAGAAGAAAATCCACGTTAGTATTTTATATATGACGGAATTGTTGACGTATACATCATATTTGTGATATGTTACTGTATGGAATAGTGGACTATTAAACAGAAATAAAATATTTAACAGAACCATAAATTACATTTTCCATCAAGGCCAAGAGCTGAAAAATCGTAAACTGTGTGTGGCAATAACTGGTGTGTCTGGTCTAGACCCGAGTATTTGCAGGCTGCTGTTAAATGGCTGGTCTACTGCTGAGGTCGGCGTTAAATACACGCACGCACGCACGCACGCTCCTTCTGTATAAGAGTGTTTGTGTGAATGAAATGCTTTGAAAATTTGATGCATAAGTTTATACCAAATTAAGATTTGACATGCTGTTAAAGTTTATTTATTTGACCATGTTCCAAATATCTGGTAGAGCATCGAACTGATTCTGACGTACATCGACGCTCATGATGTCAATCAGTGGACTGTCTGGTCCATACTCTATTATTTACAGACCGGCGTCATATTGCTGGAATATTGCTGAGTGCGGATTCAAACAACATACAAACGAAGCACAACCATCTGTACTTACACAACAAATTAGGGATCCAGGACAGGTTGCACCCGGAAGCTGGTTTGTGGGAGGACACGCAACAAAACAGCCGATTACAGCCCCCGGGGCGTTACATGTTACTGAAACAAAACAAGAAAGCATCACAATATACATCGTAAACAATAACCAAGCTCGATTCCACTGCGTCAAAAAGCAACACGCGTTTATCTGAAGTAAAACATATGCCTTAGGGATGTATGTTTGAGACAGCAAAGTTGTTCAGTCAAAGTTTGAAAACAGCCAAGCTCTTCTCTGAACGGTGGAGGCTTGCATGTGTTATTCGGACCCACAACATATTATGCTTCAGAACAAAACAAATCCAGCTGCCTTATTGCAAGTCCTGCAAAAATGTTTCCCCAAACGCGGAATTGACGCCACCATCCCGGGTTTTGATATAATTATGTTTTATTGATGCTATTTATTGATGCTGGGTTTAACGTCGCGTTCAGTACGTGTACTGGGATGGTGCTGAAAGCCTATAATGAGGGCGAATCTGGAATTCGAGCCGCAATCACGTTTCTGGCACACCTAAGGGGTAGATCTTAGGGCCGCACGTTTGACCAGCGAGTTGGGGAGTTCGCGGTGACTCGCCCACTAAACATTGCAGTGATCCCACTGAATGGCGGTTAAAATGTTATGAGTTGCAATATCATGTAGTTCCACTCATTAATCTAACGTACTGGTTGGTGTCGCGGTACTAGTTGTTGGCGTGGTAGTGATCATGGTAGTAGTTGTTGGCGTGGTAGTGGTTGTTGGCGTGGTAGTGATCATGGTAGTAGTTGTTGGCGTGGTAGTGATCATGGTAGTGGTTGTTGGCGTGGTAGTGGTTGTTGGCGTGGTAGTGATCATGGTAGTAGTTGTTGGCGTGGTAGTGATCATGGTAGTGGTTGTTGGCGTGGTAGTGGTTGTTGGCGTGGTAGTGGTCATGGCAGTTGTGGGTAGCACCTGTAAGAGGACGCAGATAGTTAATGATACCTAAGTTGTTCATACATGAATTTACACAAAATCATACACATATATGTAAAAAGGACTTCGATGACTTCGACTTTCCCCTTATGACGAGCAATGACGAGCAATATTCCAGCAGCAGTCTATATTTCACGAACTTTGAGGTTCAATTGAGTATGATCTTTCAACGAATATTTCAAAGATCGACACAAGTTTGTTCGATCAAGATTACAAAATTGATGTCCGATGCAATATTGCCATATTTTTTTCAGGTGAACAAGCGACATGCCTTTGGGTGTTTAAGACGGTTACCACCGGTAGGGCAGGATACGCTCAGCTTTTTCGCGAACACACGGTTTCATCACTATTTGAAAGTGAATCATATACGCGTGCTCGTGATAAAGTCGGAATCTTACAATCGACTCTACTCGAGATTTCTTTGGAATATAGAAAGGGCTTTGTCGCTTTTATTCAGACGTATACTACAAGCATGGACATGGTGCTCACAAAGTAATGACCAAGTCCACGCTGGTAAGATAATGACACCCTTGTGAGCCCCAGCACTGCACAGAGACCCATTACATTAAGTATACACGCAGTACATAGACTTACTATGCAGCACTCAGTCCCAGCTATTGGGCAGGATCGGTTGGGGATCTGGGAAAGTGGGGTACACAGACCAGGCGGAACACAGAGGATTGCTCCTGTCTGAGGGCATGCTGCAACTAAATGTTCAGTTTGGATTGAACAACATGTGGACAATAATGACACAATAATGCCATAAGAAACATATAGTGAAACATTCTGTACAAGATACAAACAGCTCCATTCTTGGAAAGATTATGAAATGCAAATATTTAATCAGATATATATTCAGAACTAACATTTTTGATACGTGCTTAATATGCCAGTTTTGAATATTTGATTTACACTTGAAGATGCAGAATATTCTGGAACATTATTTCCGTGAACTAACTTATCTTCTCAAGGTCACTTTACGTATATACCAGATTTGATATGGTATGCTTACGAAACAATCTGCGAACAATAAAAAACAGTTTACCTGAATTACATTGTTGAGCTAGTAGGAGCATGGTCCTTGCAAACTGACACAATGGAACGTTGTTGGTGCCACAAAAGTTCACCAGTTGTTGATAACCAGCTATGTCCGAGAACTCAACCACCTCTAGCAAATTGGTGTCGGGGTACTGTGGAATAAAATTACATCGGGTCCACCTGCAGATTTCAGCCATGACGAAAAAGTTGGAACATACGTTAATAAAGGCATTGTTTAAGCAGAGCGGATTTGATGTAACGGCAAAAATAAGATCACAGTTCGCTATGATAGTTTGTCGGAGTTGAATCGTTTGAAGAACTGCCCCCACCATGGGGAAGGCTAGTAGAGGCAGCCAGAAGCCCAGGTGCACCATTCTTGTCGTTTCTGGAGACTCTGTCGATGCTACAGACACTATAAGCTTGGGTTTCATTTTATATGCTTCCCAAAGGGACCCTTTTTCCTTATCAGAAGATTCATTACACATGAGTTGGTTGTTGAAGTGCATTACGATAACAGATGTATCAAAGTCCTTTGAGATAAACCTATTGACAGTTAACCCTCAAGGTAAACCCTTTTTTAGAGTTATTATTCTTAATATATGTTTGTCAAAATGTCATGTAACATGGACTTAAAAAACACATCAGTTACATTTCTAGGGATACAAGTATTATTTCGTCGCGGTAGTTAGTTCCGCATACACTGCAGATGACTTTCTTCTCTTGTCTTCAAGGTGAGAAAAGGTGAAGAGTTAATTGTGTAATTTAGCTGCGTTCATACTTCACACTTCACGTTGCTACATTAAATAACTGTTTCATCGAGTTAGCAAAGTTCTAAATGTAAACATAGTAACATGAGAGATCTTGACCAGATCATTTTCAAGTAAAGGTTAGCATTTAACTTACAGCACAAAATATTAGATCAAATTATACTGTGTGACTTGAGTTAGTGTTGAGGTTTTCTTGAAATGGCGAAGTGATTGTGTTTGCATTGTGGTTTCGCAATACAACAGATGAACCTTTTTATTAAAAGCAACAAACCCCTTTCCATATTCATCAGAAACTAAAAAGCAGAGTCGGTTGTACAACTATATCAGGAACATGTATTTAGGAGTCACGTTTTGAAACTGATGATACCAGTGCCGTGAACAATAATTTCTAACACCTGCGTAATTAGTACGCTCATAGGAGACTTGGATGATTCATTACTCTAGAACTAAAAGTGGAATTGTTGTGAATATACTTTTGTAACAAATAGGTCATACAGGAGTAAAGGAGGGTAAGCATTAAGAAATGACTTTCCTGAACAGGCTCATTCACGGAATGTTCGCTAGTTTACACAATGATACATGAATAACCCCCAACACAAAGGGCTCAAATTACACGTTCACAATTACTGCCATTGGAACCACGGGAAGACACGGTGGTAAACAACATAATAAACTAAGGAATTAAACTTAAGTGCATCTTATCCAGATAGAAGCCTTGCTCATGGGTGCTCAGACGTGTGTTCTTTTTAATAGGATGGTCTTGGGGGTATAAGGTATATGATCTTGAAATCCTCAGATCTCCTGACATTCATTTGAAGCTCGTTCCATGGAACAGTGAGAGTTCGGTAGACAGTTTTGTGTCCATACTTTGACTTTAGGGCTTGTGGCGCTCTCATCAGCTGTTGACTTGCCGATCGGTGTGCACATATTCGGGGTGGTATAGGACCCTCTGAGTTCTGGTACAGACCCAGACCACTGAGCGAATTGTACACAGCAGTTTGGACATGATCGCTGCGTCACTGGTAGTCAGTGCAACTCTGTGAGGGCCATTGCAGATTGCTTTTCAAGATGATGACTACAGCTGCAATAGTCTAGTCGTGAAGTAACAAAGACATGGACTAGATATTTTCCTGGTCGATGGGCAAAGTTAAAAGATGTGACAAATACCACAATACATTTTTATTGTAGTCATTCTACACAATGGGCGAAGATTACATGTTGAATATGACAGCCATGTCTCATCGGATTGCATACATGCAGTAAACTAAAAACGTAAACGGGAACGGTCGGTGCAGACATAGGTCGTTAATCAAGATATTGTGTTGCAGGTACATGTACGAAAGGTGAGAGTCATGATTCTAAGGTGGAAGACCCGGACGCAGCGACCCAAGGCTGTTGTGGCGCTGCGGGGTCTCGTTGATCTTGGACGATCTCTTGTAGCGCCTTGTTGCCAATATCATGCTCAAAATTGGGGAAATTGTGATCTGGGCAACGTTGAAATGCGACTCATCCGGTTCAACTCCACCTCCACCTCACCGCAAAAGTCCGTCCGTGCAAGATGTCGTTTCCGGAGTAGATCTTAAGAACGGTACAATATTTCCTCACCAAACTTGGTACCTTGATAAGGTCTAGTGGGGAAATGGTGTCTTTTGGAAATTGGGGTTTTAAAAAGAATAACTGTTTCGAGTTTCCATAGCAACACGTTTCATTTATTTATTTACGCAAGTATTTACAATTGCGGGAGCTATCGACTTTGTCCTCCTGTTGATGCTTGGCATCACGATCTATATATCTATCTATCTATCTATCTATCTATCTATCTATCTATCGATCTATCTATCTATCGATCTATCTATCTATTTATCTGTCTATCTATCTATCTGTCTATCTATCTATCTGTCTGTCTGTCTGTATATCTTTCTTTCTATCTTTCTATCTATCTATCTATCTGTTTACAGGCGAACAATCTTGTTCGAACCTGTTGTTAGTTAATGACCGTAAAATCACAGAACATACATTAACAACTCACCAGTACAAAAACGAAGATTTGTAGACAGACAAACATATTTTATTTTCGTCTCACCACTGCACATCATAAAAAAAACATGCATAAAACTATGAGAGACGATACAAAAACTAAGTGATATAATTATACAGATAAACATTATTGTAATATCAAAAAGCAGGTTTTAACAGTGAAATATAACTTTTGTTTCAAATGAACACACAATTTCTCATTGTTTGATAGGTTTGAAAGGTTGGACATTTTAGCCGTTATACTCGTAAATAAGGTAGATCTACGATCATCGAAAAGGGACATTAAAATAAACACATTTCCTTCAATACGATAATTACAGGTAAAACACACTCTGCCTTCAACCTTCAAGTTGCCTGTTTGATTATTAAAGGTGCACTACAGCATCTAAATATTTCAAAGGCAGTACGGTAACTCAGAGGCATACAACTCAAAATAACATCTTTAAACATCCCACATAAGGAGCTTGATTGTGCTAGTATGAATATATCAGATATTTTTCCATAAGAACATCATGTATTTTGCTGAAAATAAGGTATTTAAAACAGCGGTGATGTTAAAAAATATGCTGCATGTTCAATTAGAGTCCCAATTATTGCGATTAGGGGCGAGCCTTTCCGCCCATTGTAAGACATGTGTTTTAATTGGTCAGGCATATTTCGAAAACGACACCACTGTCTAGCTATACATATCCACTGTCTGACAATCGGAGGTATCAACCCTGTATACCTGTTAAGATTAGTGTCATAACTGCCCACGCCCAGAAAAAAAACTCATAGATCGTTGATGTACCGCATTAACAGTAGATACATCACGGTTACCACATACAGATGCGCCGTAACTGAGGGCAGACCACACCATAGTGTCATATAACTTAGAAAAGTGCCATCTTCGCGAGGCAAGAGAGTTAACTGACTTTAAAATACATCGCGATACATCGCGAAATGCATCAAATCACGTAAGCACCTTGATTAAAAATATGAAAAGATTTGGAACATATCTGCTGACTACGAGTTCGCTTTGTAAATCCTGCAATCGACCGAAATCTGCATGACAGTTTACGAACCGGATTTCGATTTCGTTGCGTGATTTTGATTAGATTATGCACAGACTCGTTCGTCCAGCCAAAATGTAACTCCATAATACCAGCCTAGTTCAGCAAGGGTGGAAACTGGACTTTTATAGTCAGTTAAGTCTCTTGCCTCAGGAAGATGGTAAAGTGCTGAAATCAATACCTGTGATTGTCTTAATTTTGGAACGTACTAGACCTCAAGCTCTGTCAGCTGATTTGGCCGCAGCCTTTGCCATAGCATCATAATCAAGATGCTCAGTCAACAATAAACAATAACAGGTAACAATACTCAAAGCCGAACTACCACCAAAAAAACTGTTGTGTTATTCTTTGGACACTTGGATTTTAAAAATGTGCAACATGGGTCTTATCAACGTTGATAACAGTATCATTAGTTTCACATTCGTTATTTAATATTTGTAGCAATTTGTTCAAATCATCTTCAGATTCTGCAAATAAAATAATATCATCAGCACACGTTCAATATTGGTACATCTCTATTAATGCCAATTTGGGAATCAGTCATAACATCCAGCACGTTATTGATGAAAACGTAAACATTACAGAAGACAGTAAACATCCTTGCTTCAAGTCATGATTAACATCAAAGCAATACATACAACATCGAGATGAAGTGAACGAAGCGCTACTATCATGTTCCCATTTACTCCAGCATCGTAAAGTTTATACCATAACAGATTTGACAGATTGACAGTCTTTTTAAAATTTGTTTTATATAATATTATATATATATCCATTATTAGACATCAAAGCCGTTGACGTGGATTTTTGCATCATCCTTCTAGTTTCTATAATTGAAGAAACTGTGTGAATAGGGTCCATGGTGGACCTTTTTTTCTAAAACCACCTTGAGCAGAAAATTCTCTCCAAGATTGTAATCTTTTATTTATAGAAAATTATATCATAAATTGCATTTGTGAGGGTTAACCCTCTATACGATAAGCGTCTGAAGGGTTGAACGTACATCTCTTTTGTATAGAGTAGTTATTCACTTCGACGATTTCTAGGGGGCATTAACAATACTAAAACAAACATTTAACATGTTATACATTGGTGATATAACATTTTGAAACTTTTAACATTCAGATTGAATACTATCTATGTCAGGCGCCTTTCCACGGCGACTTCTGTCTATAGCACTAGCTACTTCAAAATTGTAATATCGGCATTGCAACTACGCTGGCGTTTGGGTAGCCAAGTGGTCAATGCGTTTCTTCGTCACTTGGGTACAATGTGTGAAGCTCATTTCGGGTGTCCTCTGCCGTGATATTGCTTTAATAGTGCTACAAGCCGCGTAAAACCATACTCACAAAATATGGTTGCAAACAATACAAGTTGTATGATCGAGTGAGTGAGTGAGTGAGTGAGTGAGTTGGGTTTAACGCCGCTTCTAACATTATTCCAGTTATATCACGGCGTGTCAGCTTAATGTGGGAGGAAAGCCCGAAGTGATGCAGGTCTCAGACGTTTACCACTTCGGCGAAACCCACGAGCACGGGTACGGTGCTGACAAACCTAGAAACATA